CCTCACTCCTCCTCGACTCACGCTTCTCTCTACACGCGACAATGGTACTATAGATCGATTCCTCGTCACATCCCGTTGTGACTTCAGCAACTCACGGCCCGCCTGTGCGAGCCTTCTGCACTCCCCTTCAGTATGTCGAGGCGACAACAGCCGCTCCAACAATCTCGCCCATCATGGATCCCTCACAGTACTACCAGCACCATCATCACCACTCCCACCGTCATCACCACAAATCTCTATCGCAGCAACAGTCGTCCGCCTCCCTCTCGTCGACGGCTCGCGGAGCCCCGCCGCTGCATACCCATCTCCCCTCCTCTTCCTCCATGCCTTTGAGGACCGCCAACAGCACTCCGATGTCTTCGCCAGGACTTTTCAGCCCTTCGCCTTCTAGGCAGAATCTCGTCATCTCCGTATCCGAGAACAACACACCTCCCAATTACACCCAAAGTCCTCTCCTGCACCCTTTGCAGATGCACAAAGTTAGAGAGTAAGCATTTCAATCTGCGATGGGAATATCGTATCGCATTGTCCGCCTTTTTTCGCTTGTTCCGCTTCCAATCGGCTTTGCTCGCCTATGGCGGGGGAGACGGCCAGGGAGCCTGGCATGCACCAACCGTTTCACTTATCAGACACTAACGTATTTGTCAATCATAGGACACACAAAGCCCTTATTGACTCAGATACCGCCACAGGCCGCAAGCTCATTAACCAATATGAAGTGATCGAAGAAATTGGCCGTGGAATGCATGGTAAAGTCAAGCTGGCTCGCAACCTCGAAACAGGCGAAAATGTGGCCATCAAGATCATCCCACGTTTCTCTAAGAAGCGACGCCTTGGAAAGGTTACGGCAAAGTCTCCCCAAGACAAGACGAAGAAGGAAATCGCCATCTTGAAGAAGATCCGTCATCCGAATGTCGTCGCCCTCCTCGAAGTCATTGACGACCCCGAGCTCAAGAAGATTTACATGGTTCTTGAGCATGTGGAACTCGGTGAAGTTGTGTGGCGTAAGAAGGGTCTCCCTCATATTTGTCTATTCGAACGACGACGTATAGAACGCGAAATGCGAGGCGAGCTCCCAACCCCCGAGGAGGACCGTTACGAACAACTACTCGAACATCGCCAGGCTATCAAGCAGATGAAACGAGCCAAGATGGCACAGAATTATCCTGGTCAGATGAACTGGAGTTTCGAGAATGGAGGAGCCGACGAGCCTGGTAGCAGTCTAGGAAGTCAGTCTCGCATATCCTCCATGCAAGACTTTGCCGTCAGCGATGGATCACCTTCGAGACCTACTTCACGGCAAACCTTCCGCGATGAACAAAGGGCACATTCACGATCCCGATCTGTTGTTTCGTCAACTCGGGCCGTTGAAGACCCTGACGAGTTCATCAATTGGGAAGACGACATGGAAACCCCCAGCGCTCTCCGATCAAACCCCACTTCGAGTACCGCGTTGGATGGCACCATGTACGGTCCGTACGTCGACGAAGGCTTCCGAGGACGCTCTCCCAGCATGGCCGATTCGATCATCTCGCACATGTCCTCTCTTGATTTCAACCCTCAACAACACGACCCTTTCTCAGACGACTTCTCCTACGTTCCATGCTTCACCTTTGACCAAGCTCGATCAACCTTCAGAGATACTGTTCTTGGCCTCGAGTATTTACATTATCAGGGTGTCGTCCACCGTGATATCAAGCCAGCCAACCTCTTGTGGAGTAAAGATCATCGCGTCAAGATTTCTGACTTTGGCGTCTCCTACTTTGGCCGACCTATTCGCGATGGCGAATTTGACGACACAGTATCCGAATCTGAGGCCAAGGATTTCGACGATGATCTTGAACTTGCTAAGACAGTTGGCACACCTGCGTTCTTTGCTCCCGAGCTGTGCTACACCGACTTGGACACAGAACAACCCAAGGTCTCGGAACAAATCGATGTTTGGTCTCTCGGTGTGACACTTTACTGCTTGATCTACGCTCGAATCCCCTTCCTCGCCGAAGATGAGTTCCAGATGTTCCGAAAGATCGCAACAGAGGAAGTCTACATCCCCAAGCGCCGCTTGATGCCCGTTCACCCCTCAACCTCTCCAGCCGCTACCTCCCTCTACAAGCGCCAGAACATGCACCCATACCGTGATGACAACGACTTGGTCTACGAAGAAGTCGACAACCTCCTTATTGACCTGCTGCGACAAATGCTCACCAAGAACCCCGAAAAGCGAATTCGACTGCGAGACATCAAGCGTCACCCATGGGTCGTCCAGGATATCATGAATCCTATCGGATGGCTCGACGATACTGACCCTGCTCGCCCTTCTTCCGGTCGCAAGATCCAAGTCGACGAAAGGGAAATGTCATCCGCCGTCGTGCCTCTTACCTTTCTCGAGCGCGCTCGCTCGGTGGTCAAGAAGGCTGTTGGCAAGGTAATGCACCCCCTTGTGGAACGAAGTGATAGCAAAACGCGACATCGAGCCAACAGTAGTGCTGCTAGCTCCACCGGCGACAACGTAAGCATGTACAATAACGGACCTCCGACTCCTCATGGGCAGTACCGCGAGAACCGACGCAAGAGTCTCCGCCCTGACGACTACTTCGCGAGTGCCATGCGAGATGCCGCCGCGGCGCCCGAACATCCTCTCTCAGTCAGCCAATCAGTCAGCCCACAACCCGAATCAGTCATCTATGACCCTTTGGCGACTGTTCTCCCCGAAGCCGGTGTTTACCGAGGCCATCATCATGCTCATAGTGAGAGCGAGTCGATACGCGAACCCGAGAAGTCATCATCAGCAGCCTCTCTATGGCCCTTCCATCGTCACGCTCATAGCCACGGACATACCAAAACCACTCAGCACTGGCTCCATCTTGGTTCCCCTATGCCCATCTCTCAAACCACTCCTACTACCCCTTACTTCTCCAGCCCAGTCGACGGACCGGATGACTCTGGTGCCGAGACAGTCCGAAAGACTCGCGACCTGGACTTGACGGACTCCATGGATGAAAGCTCACGGTCCAAATCGGTCGACCGTGGCCTCTTCTCCAGTTCAGATAAACGCGCTGAACCCAAGGTGGGCGTCAATACTACTGTTGCCCCGGGCAGCGTTCAAGCACCACCTCGTCATGGAAGACGACCTGTCAAGTCCGTTGACTTGGGCAAGGCTTCGCACCATAGACGCTTGGAAGCCTCTATACTCTCTTCATCTCTTGCCGCCGCCGCTGGTCAACAGTATAGTCATGCGGTTCCAACCCACTCTGCTGAACCTTGCAACAAGACCAGACCTCGATCTCTTCAGAGAATGGATAGCGCTCCGATCACAAGAACGTCGCCACCTCGTCACTCGGAAGATCTCTGCATGCGACGATGTGATCGACCAGGTGAACACATCAGTTACTCTTGCCCGCCCTCACCTATCCAGGAGGAATGGACTCGAGATGAACTCCTTCCTCGCGCAGATACCATGCCCACTACCAAGTCATCAAGTGTCGATTCAATGGAGGCGTTAGTCACCCCATCGACCAGCCCAAGTGTCACCAGCCCTGTCTCAGCACTCCCTTCTACAGCCAGCACATCAGAACGGATGTTGGCATTCCAGTCTGATCCCTCTCTGCCAGCCTTGCTCAGTGGTGCCAGCTCCGTCTCAGCTGATATGGAAGCTGAGCTGCTGTGCAAACCAGGCATTGTTAGCGCTCACCCACAACTGCTCGAAACCACCGACAGCCTGACGCCCCCGGCTTTTGACAAGGAACCCAATGGCTTTCCTATCGATCACGTTTACGGCAATCCTCCTGCTATGGACAGCGGTTCTCTTGCTGTCCATCTCGAAGGTGGTGCTCGGGACTCGGTGACTAGCACTCCCGTTGCCCGGCCTGTCGACGATGATTTCGACGACGATGGCAGTGATGATGGGATCTTGCTCATGGCCAAGTCAAAGAAGAAGCCTGCGCAGACTACGTCACGACCTCCAGTCTTCAACCCTCGAAGACGTGACACCAACATTAGCATTGCGAGCACCGAAACAGCCAAGAAGGTGCCGACCTCTGCATATGGCGACGAGGGGACGTCGCCCTATGAAACATGATACCCCTTCCCCGTTTCATGGCATATTTATTAAGTTCATTTATTTCTCTTATCACATACTTTGTCAAATGCCAGACAAGCATTGAGAGTCTTTTTCCATTATGGGTCGAGTTGCATCTTCAGTTGCCTGGAGAAATGTTTTGGAGCATGAGGCCTTCGCTTTGCACGAAGCGTGGCATCACATCAGGTGTTTTCTTGTTATTAGATCGTTGCTCACATCCCAGAGAGGGATCGTTACTGCATTGCTATTTTATGGCATATCATGGGTGGCTCAGTTGCTATAAAGATTTATCCCGTGTTGTTTTTTTCTTGGGACGGATTGTTGTTTCGTGGGCGGGATGAGATGTATGGATGAGGAAATGAGAATAATGACGGGTTTTATGAGCTGGAATGAAATCGAAGGAGGAGGGACAAAGGATGAATATGTATCGGATCAAAGGCAGAGAGCGGCACAGAACGTCACCGCTTCGTCGGAAGCCAGTCCTATCGTTGACGGACGCATTGTTTATATATATGACGAGAAGGAGGAGGAATAAGAATGAATCCCTTGCATTTTTTCATGCTGGGCTATATACAGCGGCATCAGAGCAGCCTGCCCCTGGGAGAATAGGGAGGCTTGCGTGCATTTGCATAGATATGGTGGAGAGATTTGTTGCTTTCTTTGGTTGGATGTCATTCCATCTATTGAAGATTTGTGTCGGTGCTGTGCATCTGACACCGATAATAATAGCCCCTTGAAACTGCAGAACTTTGAGCCTTATGTGAACTTACCTACCTACCTATATAAACTTATATGATGTTATGTGAGCTTATGTAACTTTAGATGAATTGAGGTAAATCCAATTAAGTTTATATAAACTTAGGTAGACTTAGGTAAACTTATTTAAACTTGGATAAACTTGCATACCTAAACTTATATGAACTTAGTTAAACTTACTTAAGTTTATACAAGAGTGCTGAGACCACCAGCCCTAAAACACATACTAGCAAGACCCCGGCGGCGTTGACGACTGTTCGTATCGCAGAAACGGGGGACTTCTTGCTGACAATATCAACCAGGATTTCATCAAAGCGCTTAGCCATCTGCTCCCGCCCAAACAGCTCCTTCACCCTCACAGCACCCTTATCGCCCATCTTCTGCACATCAGCATCGCTAAGTCTCAGCGCACTGCGCACAACATCAGCCCAGGCATCCACATCCTTCGGCGATCGCAGCCATCCCGTCTCGCCATCAACGATTGTCTCTACGGGGCCTCCTGAATCAGCAGCTAGTACCGGTGTACGAGCGAGCATAGCTTCTAGGGGCACGATGCCGAAGTGCTCGTTGGCGGGTGTGTAGAGAAGAATGCGTGCGGAGCGGAGGAGCGATGCCTTGAGGGAGTTGGGGATCGAGAGGAGGAAGAGAACGGGCACGGTTGGAGGTGTAGATAGAGCGGTGATGAGGGTCTTGGTGGTGAGGTGCTCGAGACCGTGAGACGAGGCGAGAGCCTCGAGCTCAGAGTGATATTGGACATTCTCGGCGACGCGAGGATCGTAGCCGCCTAATGAGTTAGTATTACTTTTCGTGAAAGGCATAATCATGTGTGCCATACCTGCAAGAATGAGCCTGCATCCTTTGCGCTCAGCTTCAGGAATCGCAGCAAAGGCCTTGATCGCAAGACCAATATCCTTCTTCCTCTCAAAACGGTTGATGCTGAGAATAATCTTTTCTCCCTTGAACGGAACATCGTCATCACTGCCTACATCCTCCTTATCCTTGACCTCCGTATCCACACAAGGATACACCACCTTCGTCTCCGTGCGCTTCTTCAAATTCGGCCACGTATTGTTGACCACACCCTTTGTAAAACCCGAATTCACAGCCACAGCGCTTGCAAACCCCATGGTCCATTCCTCAAGCCAGTCAAATGGGCGTCGGTACAACCTTTTGAGGGCAGATTCGCGGCCCTGCGCGAGGAGAAGATCGGGGAAGTGGCAGTAGAAGAGGATTGGCGAGGATGGAGCTATGTATCGCATGAGAGGTAGGCCGGCGGATAGTTGGTCGACGATGAAGGCGCGGGGTCGTAGGGCTTGTAGTTCGCCGGACAGAGCAATCTGAATAAGAAGATGGACGTGACGAAGGATGGCGCAGAGGATAGTGAGGCGCGAGAGGATAGACATTGGAATGAGCCAGTGGCCGCGAACACGGACATCGAGAGTTCCTAATCCCGTTAGTAATTTCATATACTCAAGACTTGGGGTTGTTACCATCGCGACACTCATCAAAGCAATGCTTCGGATCGCAGTGATTCGTAAATATCACGACGCGATGGCCCCTCTCCTGCAACCCGACCGCAGCATCGACGACGAGACGCTCAGCACCTCCAATACCAAGATCAGGATGAAAGAAGACGATGGAGTCTTTATCTTTGGCGTCTGAAGCCATGATCGCGGGTTTTGGTGGTGGTGGTGGTGGTGGTGGTGGTGGTGGTTATGAGAGGCTACGTACGGTGTTTGGTTAGTGGGGGTGAGTTGGAGGAGATGAAAAGCTCCAGTAGGGCCTTCGAGAGAGGGCCTGCTATTGGCTGGTGATAATTGGGCAAGAAAACTTTAGGATCTGTATCCTAAGCGATAAAAAAGATTTAGGTAAGTTTAGTGTATTTTAGTAGAGGTTTAGACCAGTTTATTCTGGCATCCTCTTCTAAAGTCTGAAGCTTTTATTTCCCATGAGAGTTGGGGTGCGTGGCTGTCATGGGAAGTGGGACCGTTTTCATCATGAGCGCGCGGTACGTATCCTTTTACCCCAGAATCTTTAAATCGTTCACATGCAAGATGCTCGAGATATCACGACCAACAATTAATACATTATTAATAATAATACTGGACTCGGTTATAGTCATCAGTACCTTACTCTGACATGCAAATCCATGAGATTTCTGATATCATGTGATCTCATATGCCGAGAAGCCCATCTCAGATTCATCATGTATCTCACTCACTTTAGTTTACCCCAGGCATCATCCATATCCACAAGCCGAGGTGTTTTCCTTAGCCGGCCTTTCAACTCCACAGGCTCTCTCTTATACTCTCTTCTCTTATACCACCCAATAACGCCCACTCTCCCTCACAACCTCTCATCTCACTTCTCAAATTCTAATTAAAAATATGTCTACTCTCTTCACACTCCCCATCGCAAAATGCGGCGCCCATCCCGGCGGAACCCTCACATGCACAGAACCCTCACCGAGAGTCTACCTCCTCACCCTCCTCTCACCACCCGACAACCGTCTTACAACTCCCGTTCTCAAAGCCTTTCTCAACGCCCTTGACATCATCGAGTTTGGTCACCATCACGGCGTTGTAGCGACTACCTCTGGAATTCCAAAGTTTTATAGTAATGGTCTTGATCTGGAACATGCTGTTGCGACGGAGGGTTTCTGGCCTTTGCTCTATGATGTCTGGGCTCGTTTCTTGACGTAAGTTTGCTACCTATAATAATGAATGCTTATGAGTGGTGTGCTGACTGTTCTAGGTACCCTATGCCTACAGTGGCTCTCATGAACGGTCACGCCTTCGCAGGCGGTCTCATGCTCGCCACAGCCCAAGACTACCGCCTCGCCCCAACCCCACGAGGTTTCCTCTGTCTCAACGAGCTCGTCTTCGGCGCACCCCTCAAACCCGCCATGTCAGCGCTCTTCCGCATCAAGTACTCCCACTCAACCTACCGAAGCCTCGTCCTCGAAGCCAAGCGCTTCACAGGCGAGGACGCCCTTGCGGCTGGTATCGCCGATGCTCTTGCGCCCAAGGGCCTCGAGGACATGCTCAACTTTATCAAGGAGAATGAACTCATTGATAAGAGCAAGTCTGGTGTCTACGGCGTGTTGAAAATGGAGATGTACGCTGGCTTGGTCGAGTTTATGAGGGGGCCTGCTATGGAAGCGCATGAGCAGAGGTTTGAGGAGGCGCAGAGTAGGGAGGGTGAGAGGAAGGAGTTTGGAAAGGTTTGGTATGAGCAGTGGCTCAAGGATACCAAGGCCAAGTTGTAGGTGGCTGTTCCTGTACGATATATGTGTGAGCATATCTGTTGCGACTTGCAGAGTATTTTATGCCCGACCTACCCTCATATACCAAAATATCGACCTCCTTGTGTAGGACCTACCTTTATATACTAGAATCACTCTGTATATCATCGGCGAAGAGTGGTGTAGGGGTATCTACCTATAACCTATAACCCTCTAAAATCCGAACCTAAAATCCTAAAACTCTCTCCCCCTGCGCCACTCTTCGTTTTTGCAGTTCGCGTGTTCGAATTCAGAGTGAACCGGATTACTCTGTGGTGTTTCAGTATTTATTACCACCTTCTGGTGCTTTTTTGTCACGTCCAAGGGTCAACAGCCACAGCTTACAGATTTTGCGTCCGTCTTCAGCCTGGATTCATGTCCTCACGAGTCACTTCTGTTCAGTGTATAGCCCACTACCGCATCACCCAAGATGTACAGGCGAATGCTATCACATAAATAGGTACCAAGCAACATATCATTAAAAGCCAAGCCTATCCATACACCTACTGCGCCAAGCTCGATCTGAGGAAACTTGGTATAACGTATTAGCCCTATTTTATTGCTCCCACCAAACGCCTTATATGCGTACCAAATACGCCTCATAAATATACCGGGCCACCCCTCGTGGGTATATGCGATTTGACATGCTCAGATCTATTATATAACGCGCCGGGTCAATGACCGCCCTGATCCATGTGCGGATGCTGGTGCTCAAAAAGACTCAACACATCTGAAGGTATGTAGTCTAACCAAGGCCCCATCATGTCTGATTGCTGCAGGCCCAAAGCAGCAATGTCTATATCCTGGCTGTCAAAGGTGATGCCGTCCATGCTCCCCATGTTTCCCCAGGGCATCGCATATGGGAAACTCGTTTGGCCAAAATACATGGCGTTTGCCCCTGAAAGAGTCGTGGCCGGGTTCACGCCATTTTCAGCCATCGCAGTGGGTGGCGAGACACTGTATGTATCAAAAGCAGTAGAAGGTGGATTTGTCGGCGTAAACCTCGACCCAGTGGTGTAAATGTCATTTGCCTCACAGTCCTCAGGCAACCCGTCGAACTGAACAGTAGGACGAGTTTGCGTGCTCGTCGCTGAAAGATTCGAAGTTCGACGAGGCACAACCGGGCGAGACGATTGCCGCACAGCCGAGACATTGGGCTGGGGATAAGCTGGCGCAAGCATGCCCGATGAGTCTGGTAAACTCTGCCGGATAGGGTCAAATATCATATTGCCAGGTGGTGTACTGGGAGCTCGTGCCGGCTGTGAAGTTTGAGCTCCAGTTCCTGGAGTCGAGTCTCGATTTTGATACATGAGTGTCAGGCTCGAGTTTGGAGAGTTAGCAGTTCCTGCCAGAGTCCATGCTATAGGCGGACCTGACATCCTTGGTGATGCCTTATTCTCGAACTTGGGGAACGGGTTGTTCAATGCACCACTGTTACTCTTGCGTCCAGCTTTAGTGCTCTCATACTCTTCTGCTGTATATGTTTCGCAATCCCATATTCCCTTGGCCCTCTGGTCCAGTGCTGTGATGATGTAGGTAGCGCCACCCCAGTACATTTGCACCTGTTGCAGAGAATTAAAGCACTTTTGGTAGTTCTGGTTTGCCGCCGAAGCCAACAAGGAGTGTCGTGAGTTTTTGGCCTCTCGAGGTTTATTGCCTCCTGGAGCATCCGGATGATGCCCGCCTGGGGGCGAGTTGGCCCGTGAGGGTGAGCTTGATGCGTTTGCGCTCGACTCCATCACGAAGGCGCAAGCTGCAATGTAGATTGGCTGACTAACAAAAGGATTTCCAATGAAACTCTTGGAGTCTATCAAGTCCGCAAAAGACAAGATGTCGCAAATCGTTTTCGCGCTGCTCATACTGAGCTCGCGACTGTCTGGTAAGAGCTGTAACTCACTGCGGAGTTCAGCAAAGGGTGTAAGGAGAGTCGGCTGATGAAGGATAATGAAGAGAGCATGGAACCAGAAATGCAGGAGGATGAATGTGGTGCCCTGGCCTGCTCCCAAATACGCTTTGAAGTTGTTTACATTAAACTGTAACCGCCAGTCCCAACTCTTGTAGAGCCTGGTCAGCTCATGCTCCATTTCACCAAGCTTGTCCCATGTTTCCTTGGTGAGATCCTGCGCATTGCGAATTTTGTTGAGAATGTCGCATACACGTCCGTAGAGGTGGATAATTTGCAGGAAGATCGGATAGGGAGCAGGCCAACCAGTCGCTGGATCGATGAAAGGCTCCGGGAATGAGAGTTCTAAGTCGTCATCTCGAAATGTGACAGGTCGTCCCGTCCCTGATGAGATGACACGGTCAAGAATAAAGACCGCCCAAAACGTATCCATCCTTTCTTGTACGAGCTCTTTTTGCTCTTGAGCGCTCAGCTGACTCGATTCACCTCCTTTCGCCTCAGAACTTCCTTCGTCAACCGGATGGCGGCCCCAATTCTGAGAATACAAAGCATCCTTCTCACCGTGATACTGAACTCCCACCTCTTTTTGTAGCCCCAGGTCGACAGCCATACGAATAGCAAGCCCGAGATACATCCATAGAGCGCTGTCCTGGGCTGCTCCAAAGCCCTCATAAGCCATGAGGAGACAAGCTTGCACAGCGCCAACAGTCGGACATGGGAACGTATCAACAGTGGCCTGTCTGGCTCTTTGCGCAAACACTGCGCCCCTTTCCATCCTTGGCATTTTGTCGTTTCCATTTGTAAGAATTGGTGAGTCCGAGAATCTGGCGGCCAAAGCGCATATTGAGTCAACGAGAATCGGCTCAACTCTCTTTTCTTTCACCATCCGCAAAAACTTTGACTGTCGAAGGAATGGGTAACTGGAACCCATTTGCACAAAGAAGGTGTTGATGAGACTGATTATTAATGGATGAACTGGAGCTGAGTCGTTTGGATCGTAGGTAGGTAGCTCCTCGCTGACCACATCGCTCCCAACAGCCGAGCTGCTTCCTTGCGGTCCGCTATGTGTTGATATCGGTGATGTCCCAGCCAGTGAACCAGCAGTCGAGCGCCGGCGATCGCGCACAGAGACAACCATTTGTTTAAAACCAGGTACGATAGCAGTTGGACCAAAGTATCGGAAATAGGGGACGCGGTGACTTTCGGAGCGTCGCACAGCAGTAGGAGAAGTTGGTAAAGCGGAAGGGTGGTGCCCATTCTGCGCCATCGCATTCGGGGTTTCGCGGTCCTCAACCTTTGGATCGATCATGTTTGCGAGCGACATTGTCGTCCCTGAAGTTGCATGTGAATTCGGAGTTTCAGGCACGTGCTGTGCTGGCACAGACGCCTTCTCGATCTTGATATTCTCATCATGGTAGTGGCGGGATTCGTGCTCGTCTCGTTCGTGGGCTTGCTTATCCAACGGCGATGGTTTCTCACAAT